AAAAAAAAAAAAAAAAGCATCCCAAATAACAGGGTTGGAATTTTGGGAGTCGCTCCGTGACCGGGTGGGACGATCCCGCTCCACCTGAGGAAGATTTTGGGTTTAAAAAGACACAGAAAAGTGTCCAAGTGTTGGTCTGGGTGGCTGAGGAACCTCCACGCTGTGGGAGCATCCCTCAGGAACACCGGGATGGACTCCAGGAATCCAGGAGAATCCAGGAGATCCCAGGGCTCCCCCAGGGCCTGGAGCTCCGCTTGTTTTATACCTCATCCTTTCCTTTTCCTTGGATCCTTCCCTTTTCCCACTTTTTCCATTCCTTTAGGACCCAGAGCTTGTGCACTCGGCCACATCCAGGTTTTTTTTTGTTTTGTTTGTTTGTTTGGTTTTATTTTTGTTTCCCTGTGGAATGAAAAGCAATCCATGACTGGGGTGGGCAATTCCCAACCCTGCTCCCTTTGGGATCCGAGCCCAAGGCAAGGGAACGCCGGGGTTGGAGGGATGATCCAGAGGGATCCCAGAGTTGGAGGGAAGATCCAGAGGGATCCCTGGGCCCCTGTTCCATCCTCCCTGTCCAGCAGCTCCTCCAGGGCTGCCCTGAGCCCCCCAAAACCCTCCCAGGGCAGGCGAGGGGCTCGATGCCAAAAATCCAGCGCTGCTCCCGCTTTGGGAGGGCACAACAAATCCCTCTCCAAAGCCTTGGAGGGGCACAAATCCTTTCTCAAGGTCTTTGGAAGGGCACAAATCCCTTTCCAAAGCCCTTGGAGGGGAAAAAAATTCCTCTTCCAAAGCCTTGGAGGGGCACAAATCCCTTTCCAAAGCCCTTGGAAGAGTAAAAATCCTTTTCCAAAGCCCTTGGAGGGGAAAAAAATTCCTCTTCCAAAGCTCTTGGAAGGGCAAAAGTCCCTCTCCAAAGCTTTGGAAGGGCACAAATCCCTTTCCAAAGCTTTTGGAAGGGCATAAATCCTTTTCCAAAGCCCCTGGAGGGGCAAAAATCCCTTTCCAAAGCTTTTGGAAGGGCACAAATCCCTTTCCAAAGCCCTTGGAAGGGCACAGATCCCTTTCCAAAGCCCTTGGAAGGGCACAGATCCCTTTCCAAAGCC